CATCTGGGGAATCAGATTTAAAGCAAACACCCTTAACGGTTAATGAGGATAATTGATTTAGTAGTACGTCCCATGCTGTTATTGTTTTACCTTCTTCTTTAAATAATTTAATCATTTTGAGTGACTCTTTCATGTTTGATTGAAGAACGAATGATATTTGATTCATTTTGTCGTGGATATTATAGTCCTTTTGAATGAAATATTTATTTCCACAATCTACAAAACGGATTACACGTGATAAATCCTCAATTACTTCAGAACTGTTTTTATACTGATGATTTTCAGCCTTGCGTCTAATATCTGTTATCAAGAATGAATCATCAAGTTTTATATCAAATGTTATTTTTGGCTTACGTAATAAAGGTAAAACGTATTCATCATAATATTCCTTTTGATAAAGTTTTAGAATCTTCACTAAAACAAATGGAGAAGTCATTAAATGTGCATATCTACTACGTGCTTTTTCAAAATTACTTTTTGCATTTTCTGTTAAATTGCAGAAGTTATAAACGTTATCGTATGCTTCATTAATTAAATGATTAGGTAACGAATTAATTGCTTGAAACAGTGTGAATAATGTTATTTCTTTTTCTAAATTCATGTTTCCACCGTCATTATGTACTTCAAAATCACAGATGCCATCAACTATGCTCTGGGCAAGTTTATCGTCAATGTTTACATCTTTGTTTTCATTCATTATACTCTTTATTTCTTCATTCTTCTGTTCAACTCTTACCTTAATATTCAAATCATTTAATATATCGTTTACTGTTCTGGTTAATGTTGAATCATAACTTCCACGAATGAATGAGTATGTTTTGATTGGTTCTGTTGCATTCTTGCGAACTCTTGAATCAGCCATAACCACTAATGAACGCTTTGAATCATTCATAGAAGTCATTATGTCGATATCATAATCATTGCAGGAATAACATTTAATCATTCTGTTCGAGGTTGAATAGAAGAAATTAGTGTTGCAATAAATGTGAAGACCTCCTGATGCGGTTTTAACGATAACATCTTTATCCGAAAGTTTTGATAAAATGTCTTTTCTAACTGTTTCTTTAAGTTCATCATTGTACGATTTATTGATATCAACATCTATAATCGTTAAATTTGATATTTTATTTACTAATAAAGCCATACCAGTTTTCCTTCCTCTTCCTCCATCATGTTTGAGGTAGTTATGTAAATCAATCATGTTTTCACCAATTCTTTCGTTGAGGGTTTTAGTTTCTGCCACAACTAATTCCTCAACTAATTCCTCAACTAATGAATCAATAACTTTTTCATCAGAAATGATATAGTTGCTGTTGTTGTTTGTTGCCGTCATTTATATAGGAATAAAAAAATAAAAATAATTTTAAAACTAACTTTATTTTTGGACTGCATCATATTTTCGTAAATGTTGTCAAAATGTCATGTTGTCTCATTTTTTAAAAGAAGTTAAATGACCTGGTAGCACATGGTAACATGGTAGCACCTTCAGTTCTTCAAAAATAATTCATTAGTTAGAAAAATAACGCTAATTTTATTTTTATATCTTTTTTTATTTTGTATGTAAAGACAGTAATGTCAAACATTGAGTTTGAAACAGTTAGAAAGATAGACAATGACACCAAAGTGGTTAGAATAGGTGATTTAAACGTAAGATACTCAAAGAAATACAACAAATATTCTTTGTCAGACATTATATCCCATCTGAAAAGAAAACAAACGACTGGGTTAGAAATGCTTCTACTCAGAAAATTTTGACAAGAATCCTGAGCTCATGATATCAGTAACATTTCATGGAACAAGAGCATATCTTATAGACAAAAGTCTTATACCAATAGTTTTGTTATGGTTAGACCAGTTGTTGGATATAACTTCATAACTTATGGTTCATTCGACTCAGAACGTTGCAGTGAAGGCTTACTTTATATCGTTCAGAAACCGAAGGACTTCAATACAAAGAGATATAAGATAGGAAGAACATATAATATAACTCAAAGATATGACAGTACAGTCAATAGAGTCAAGGTTGTGTTCGTTAATGATATGAGAGCTGCAGAAACAGAACTACTTGAAAAGTTTGAGAAAAGGTATGGTGCTCCCATGAAAGGTAAAGAAACGTTTGAAGTAGATGAGATAGATAAAGCTATAAAATTATTTGACGAAGTTGCTGAAAAATACATGTAAAGCGTTTATTTTTGGTCTTTTGTGAAAGTCAGAAAAAATAAAGTTAGTTTTAAAATTATTTTTATTTTGTATGAAATAACAGATATGTCAACAACAGAGAACACAACAACTGCTATCGTTCATGAAGCCATTAATGAAGAATACGAGTACATACAATATAACAAACAACTTCACCTCATTCGTTCGGTCAAAGATGATATGTACCAAATGCTCTATTCTGCAAACCATCAGACATGAAAGACAAGAATTTCCTCATATGATTGCTTCCCTCGGAAAACCGAGAGAAGAGATTCCATTCGAAAATCGCAAGAGGGTAGAAATGAGGTGAAAAATTAGGTGAAATCTCACCTCTTCACCTAAACATTATTTTTGGGTCATTTACACTCATTACGATGAAGTCATGACAAAACATTTCCTATGTTGTTGTCTAAATGTCATGTTGTCTCATTTTTTAAAAGAAGTTAATTAACCTGGTAGCACATGGTAACATGGTAGCACCTTCAGTTCTTCAAAAATAATTCATAACTGCCTTCCTCCTGTGTTGTTGTCTAAATGTCATGTTGTCTCATTTTTTAAAAGAAGTTAAATGACCTGGTAGCACATGGTAACATGGTAGCACCTTCAGTTCTTCAAAAATAATTAATTATTGAATAACCTAAAAACCATTAACGATAAGATAACTGATAACAAATTTTTATTTTTATCATAAATGGATACCCCACAAGCTCAAAATTTACCACGAATCATAACAAGGGAGGAAATGATAAAAATGATGCGAGAACTTGCTAAAAATAACAAACCACTAAAACTGAGAAAATGCGGTTATGCAGTAATGATGGAAAGAGAGATGTTGTCAAAGAGGAATAAAAATTAAATTTGGATTGAGTTTAAAAATTCATCTTTATTAAATTCATCTCTTCCAATCAATTTATTTATTCTATTAAATTCTTTTATTTTTGCTTCACTCAGTTTAAGGATTGAACGGTAAGTTTCTAATTTTTCGATTATTTCTTTATCGTTTTCAGTTCCATTAGTTTTATGGGCATCAACCCCACCGCATTGCGGCTTCTTTTTGTAATAGCATATTTTTGATTTAATTCTGTTTAGTTTCTTTTTATATTCATCGTCTGGACTCTTGGCTGCTTCGTTGTCACTCATTTCTTACGAAATAAAAAAAATTAAATATTATTTAAATATAATGGAGTAATAAAATAAATCGGAATTTCTATTAATTTATTGTCAACTTCAACTAATACATTACCGTTAATATATCTAACAAATTCAGCTATTGTGTCAAATCTTCGTCTTCTTTTTGTCATTGATTTATCAGTTTTTCCATAATCGAGATGAATCAAAACTTTATCCCCTTGTTTAAAATTCATGAGCCCCGAATTAATTTGTTCACGTTTAACATCATTTAACCTTTCCATTTGCTTTCTAATATATTCCCATTCTTTTGAAATATCATTTTTCATTTCCACTGGTTTCATGTTTATAGTTCTATGCCATGTATTATTGTAATAATATACTAACTGTTGTATGATGGAGTCATGATTTCCATCCCAGTATATCTGACCGTTAACCCCTAACGCATCTCTAAGAGTTCTCATTACTGCATCAACTATTTTATTATGAAACGTATATGGAGAGGATGAAAAGAAAAAATTAATTTGTGGGAAATAATGAGTCATAGCTGCCTGAAATCCTTTATCACCATCACCCCTGATATTATCTACTCTTTCATGATCTAGTAAGTATTGTATAGCTCTTCGTGTTTCCTGTTCTGTTTTCCCTTTCACCGGAATGCAATATAAATATCTAGTGTTAATGTTAATGGCAAATAAATAAGTAACTTTTCCTTTTGAATATTCCAGATGATCGATTTCGTATGAATATGGATATGGTGCAAATGAAGGGCGACTAAATTTTTCCTTTAATGGTTGAATTTTTGGGTCAGTTGGTTTATTTAATATCTTGAAATCCTTTTTAAAATCTTTTTGCTTCTTTGGTGATTGAAATGGATATAATAAAGTGAATGATGAAGGATTAACTGAAGGAGGTTTTGGTATTGCAAGTGATTTAATTTTATCTGCTTTGATTTTGGATGATGAAGTTTTGGATTTCATTCCTCCCCTCATTAATTCCGGATGTATTCTATTCATTTGTTTTAAATATACTGTATATAAAGGTTTGATATACTTTCCCGCTTCGAGTTTATGTTGAAGGATGAATTCCAAAAGTTGATCTTCATTTAAAAGTCGGGCTGAATATGGTTTAACTAATGAATCATAAATTAAAGCTTGTGCTTCATTTATGGTCTGAAGGACCTGGGTGTTTTGCACCTTTTGTTTTTGTTCCTTTGGTTTTTGCGGCTCATGATTATATAATTTATATAATTCATCAATATCTTCTTCTGTTAATACTTTATTTTTGAAATCTTTCAACTGTTTAAGTTGTGATTTAGTTTTTCCCTTTGAATATTCATTATTTTTAATTTTGTCTTTAATTTCAGAAATTATTCTATCATGATATTTCAAAATTTCATTTTTATAATATGGATAATAATATTCCATATCATCACCCGTTATATTGTTATCATATTTTTGGAGATATGCTTTTAAATCATAATAATTAAGAAAATTTTGATTAAGTACTAAATCATCAATTAAAATTTTTAAATCTGTGTTATCCATTTATATAAAAATAAAATCAATGTTTTAAGGGTGCCCACCTCTTTGAATCATAGTATCAAAACCATCATTAACGGTTCCTTTTGTCTCTCCTGTGGCATTTCATTAAAAATAAAATTTTAAATTGTATTAAATAAATGGCATACAACATCCATTTTCACAACATACAGCCTTAGTGTGTGCTCCTGTTAATGCAGTCTTACCAATTGTTAAGCGAGTCATTGACCCATTTTTAAGTTGTAAATTAATATTCTGACCATCAAATATCACTTTATCATTTATTATATCTAAATAATTTTTAGGTGTTAATTGTTTATTTTGTCGTAAACTAACACCTTTCATTTTTTGTGCAATCTTTTTAAAATCACTTCCATCAATTGAACCGTCGAATGATGTATAACACTTAGGACATAAAGCAACCATGTTATCACCTTGTTTCTCAATTGCTAAACCCAATAACTTCTTCTCATGTGCTTTTTCTTCAGCTTTATTCTTTAATTTAGGTTTAAATTTCTCATCAAAACAGAAGAAATCAAAAGGTGCGAATTTGAAAATGTTTTTATCATAAAATTGTTTATCGGTTACAATTGCTTGAAATGCTTGAGTGTTAGGAAGATTTGGGTCGCCAGCGATTGCCCAATAAGATGAATCAGTATCACCTTCAATGAAATGAAAACGATTAACATCCATGCATTTATACATAAAATCATAAATGAAAACCAAATACCAGTATTTAGCATTATCTAAAGTGAAGAATGCCTCTTGTAAACATGTATCACATCTATAAAATCTATCTTTGAGCATCAGTTGATATGTATCCTCACCTATTTCTCTTATGTTTTTAAACTTATTTGACATACATGCAACGCGTGACTTCTGTGCATTCATTATTTTAGTCTTTGCGTAATTTTGTGTATTCATTGCATCGTAACCATATGATCCATTAAGTGAAATCTTGCAAAATAAACTTTTTCCTTTATTTCCTTCTAATTCAGCCTTTTGTCTTTCGTTCATAAATTCGTTCGCAAATTCATTAAAACAAGTGTTTTTAGTAAATGTTAAAATTGATTGAATGTCATCAATGATAAAATGAAATCTGTCGATTAGATACCAAAGATAATAAGAAGAAAATGGTTGATATTGGTTGTGTGTTGATGCTAACTGAGTTAATTTTCTCTGTTTCTGGTCAACTGGTAGATTGTTTGATTTCATGTAATTATACATAAAACTGCCAATTGTTTTTTCATCTGTGATAATATCTAAGTTTCTTATTATCGGTAAAAAGTTTATGTAATCATTAATGTATTTTTCATCAATGTGACCCTTTACTTCAGCCACGAATAAAGTATTTTTCTTTCTAATAATTCCCAGTGCTTTTGCTTTCTTTGTTGCTGTATCACAAATGATAACACCATTCAATCTTCCCGGCATATACATTTTATGGTCAGTATATTGAATGAAATCATGAGGATTAGATGAAAATGATGAAGGATATAATGAATTAAAGTCAACTCCAACGAAATGAGTCATAATGTTGGTGGTGTCCTCATTTGATACAGTTTTAGTTTCTGGATTATATGAAAGTTTATTAATGTGCGTGATTCCTTTAAGATTAACACGATGTTGAACATTTGATAGACCACCAGTAATTCCATTACGGAGAATGTGATAAGCTTCAACTGAATCTAAAGTCATTGGTAAATTATTTTTTAATGCATAATTTCTTAAATTGATTCTTAAACGTTGAACATCTTCATCTTTATTTGATTTCACGACATTGCAATAACAACACATTAACTGACAATTTTCTTTAGTATGTGGTTTTTCATTATCTATTCTATCCAATGTTGGTTTATTAGCATATGTAAACGCTTTACCACACATTTTGCATTTAGATGAAAGGATTAAATCGTGATAGTATTGAAAATCATCCATTGAAACATTATTTTTAGTATCCCTTTCTGCTTTTTCATCTTGTTTCTTATATGATTCAATTTTATATTTCCAATACTTTTTCGTTAATTCAAAACTTGATTCCACATTTTCTTCTTCTGGATATGTTTCGTTAGGATTAAAGTCTTTATATGCTAAAGCGTAACGAATCATTGAAGCATTCGATGATAAAGAAAGATTATGAAGCATGTCAATTTTATAAACAAATGTTTCTTCAATAATTTTATCGATTGGGTCAATCATAATTTCAACATCTTTATTGCAATAATGAATAAAATATTCTAATCTATTCTTAAAGTTTTTAGCATCATTGAGATATATTTGATAATCACTATCTGATATAGTTTCTTGAGTTAATGCTGAATAAAATGAATCTTTCGTGAATGGTTCCTCTTTATATAATTCTTCTTCGTAATTTTCCCATGTGATGAATTGATAAGGGAAAAAGGATTTAACACGTGATTTATTGTTTCCGAAATCTTGAGTGAATTGGTCTAATGTCCCACCCGCTATATAATTTCTGATGTCAATAAATCTCAATTCATATGGAACGTTTGTTTTCTTTACAATGATTTGCTTAAATTGTGAAGATGAACCCAGCATTGATTTTATTTTCCATTTTGCAGTGTTTAAATCACGAAGAATTAAATTTAAATCAAACTTTCCCGAATTAAAACCTATGATATTCACTTTATTGAATTCCTCATCTAGAAGTTCTTTAAATGCTTCCTTCTGTTTTTCATTTAATGTATGAGACAAAGTCCCCACCGTTTGGTCCATTTGCGACTTCAATAATTCTTCATATTGTTCAATATTTGATTTAGCAACTAATGAACAGGTTGAAAATAAAAACTCAATCCAATCAGAAATAAAAGAATCACTCGAAGTTAAGCAAAAATTCCTCGTATACGTTTTATCATTTAATTTAACCGTTGATGATACCATGAATGGTTTTAAGTAAGCGTTCAAAGTTGCACACTCAGAAAGTTGTAATTCTTCTTTAGTCTCTAATGTTTCGAAGTCAAAAGTAATATAATATCTTGTCGGTTGATAATATTCCTGCAAATTATGAGCTAATAACCACTGATATATCTTCTGTTTCGTGATATGTGGTGTATATGGTTGTTGTGTGTTTTGCAATTGAACGTCTTGAATTAATCTTCCATTATTTTCTTTACATTTCTCACAATGTTTTAAAAATCTTCTTTGGTTTTTCCTTTCTGGATCATCACGGATAGAATATACTTCTTCTTTGCAAAAGGGGCAAACTTTATATCCTGTGAGTGCTTCAACGTCTGTAATTCTGTCAGCGTGAAGTTTTCCACATGGACTCTGTGTTAATAAAATATTTACTGTTTCAAATTCTGGATCTATCATTATTGATTCCACTAATGGAAAGTCTACCTTGTTAATGTCTACGTCTTCTGGTTGAGGGTCACAATAATAAAAATCAATATTAACGTTTAACATTCTTGCTAACCTCTCACTTTCTGATGAAATGTCAAATCCTTCATATGCATCTATGGCTTCATTTAAATAACTTCTACGAGTTTTAGGATTAACACCATCAGGAATGTTATAGAAGCGTTTAAATAACCTTCTACCTTCGGCTCTAATTTGATTATCATTCATTTTAGCTGTTCCATTTTTGTTCATTTATGTAAGAATAAATAAAATAAATAAAAATAAGGTTTATTTTTTTTAAAGTCCGAGACTCAGAGAGTCCAGGGCTAAAGTCCATAAAATGAATTAAGAACACATAAATTTTTATCATCTGCGACGTGACGAATACATTTTAATTTACTCAAGAATGCGTACCCTGATACATTAAATCTAATTCCTGTCTTATTTAATTTCACAACTTTGAAAAGGAATGTATGAATAGCTATAAAATGATGAGATGATGTTTTATGGGTTGCTTCCATTTTTTCTGAAATAAATGAATAAATATAATGTTTATAAGTTTTCATATCTTTTATGTTCTTAATAACGAATGGTATAGACCTTTCCACTTCGTCTTCCTTCGGTGCTGTTCTTTCATATGAAACATTATTGGTATCTTCAATAATGAAACCACAATCGCATAAAATTTTATATGTACCAATTGTTTCTTTTGATATTTTATCTAACAAATCAAAAACTTTATCAACACCTGTACATTTATTTAAATAATAATTTGTGTAAATATCATGGTCTTCTTTCTTAATCGTATTTGTTGCATATGTTACATTTTTCAGTGCTTTTTTGAATTTTTCAGAATCAAGAGGAGGTGAAAGTAATATACATGGATAATCTCCATCGTCAATAAACTGAAGCTTATGTTTATGAATAAATTTTGTGCCTTCTTCTGAAAGTGTTTCGTCAATATCACCATCTAATAAATTTTTTGTAGATTCCAAAAAGTAATTTTTATATCTTTCCTCATGTGATTTTTGAACTTCTGATTCTGAAGCTGGGATATTCATTAAACCCTCTACTTCATTCTCAGCATTTCTCAATTCACTAATTCTTTCATCTATTTCATTTCTTAATTGTTCCAATTTCTCAATCTCATCGTTATAATATTCATCATCTTTAATTCGTTCTTCATAATATTCAGGGAAAACATCAGGTTCTTTAGGTTTTTCTTCTTTTTTAGATGTGGGATATAAGAAATTTATAACATCATCTTTATTCATTTTTCCATCATAATCAAACTCATTTAAAAACTCCGCGAATTTTTGACAATTTCTTAAATAATATTTATCAACCTCATAACCCGCCTCCTCTAATATATCCTTTATTTCCCTGTTTGTGAATCCTAATTTTTTAACGTCGTTAGTCTTGACACTCATTTTATACAAAATAAAAAAATAAAATAATAAACATAACTAAGTTTTAATTTTTCGTAAGAAGTTTAACCCATTCAGGATTTAAACAATGTTTAATTAATCGCGGAATATCTGACATCATCTATATATAGCTTCTTTTAAAATTAATTTTTTTTATTTTTTATTTCATTACATTATGTATGGGCTGAGTGTAAATGTCTTACAATTTTGAAAATTTTTTAAATCTTGATTTATTCAAAAACGTAAGAATAAAAACCGTAAGAATCATACATTTTTTACTTCATATGTTAAAAAAAATGATACAAAATCGTTCAATATTGTATGAATTCTTACGTTTACAAAAAAAGTCACACAACCCTTCAACATATACTACTTTTAAATTTCAAAATATCAAGTTCAGTTCGACTATGTATGTAGTAATTCCTCAATAAAGTGCCAAAACCCTATTAAAATATATGAACATTTTCAACATTTTAATGTTTTTATTTAAAAATTTGATGGAATATGAGCTTCAAACAATTATTATGTAAATAAAAATAATTAAATATATGTATTTATTCGTATTACAACCGTAGTAAGTCGATTCTTCCTTTCTTCTACTGAGTTTTGAATTTGATTTCGAATTGTAAAGAGATTCAAAGGGAAAATACTAGCGGATAAAAACTACCTCCATGAAAGGGTCATAATGGAGTCAAGTTGTATTTTTTGATATTTTTTGCTTTTCGAGCCTAAATAGGTAGCCAAGATAATGCCTAAAAATAAGGTTCTAAATTCTGAAGTTTACATGATCCTCTCGTGTGCACCCTTAAAAAAATGCAAAAAAAAATGTAATAAAATAAAAAATTTTTAGTATCGATAATCTGAAATATGTTGTTTACTTAAGCCGCGAGCGAAGCGAGCGGCTTAGTTTCGTAGTTTCGTACAATCTTTTTTCAAATATGTTGTTTACTTAAGCCACTCGCTTCGCTCGCGGCTTAGTTTCGTAATTTCATACAATTATTTTTCGAATTTGTTCTTTTTGTCAACCGCGAGCGAAGCGAGTGGCTTTTTATTTTTTAAAAATTTTTTTCTTTCTTACTTTTTTTCCCCTTACTTACAAATTTGATAGTAACTTACCAAATCTCTCTATCATATAATAATAAATTAATCCATTTTTTGTTTCAAATATGGCACTTTACATTTCTGACATGTAAACTTGTCACTTTTCACTTCACCTCATTGGGCAAGTTTGTGCCCCCCTCTTTTTATGTATTTAACAATAAAATTTGATAATCTGTATATTATTTATCACATGAACTATGTAAATTTTTAATCAGATGAAGATTCTAATATTATTAACATTCGAATTAAAGCGTATTTCTGGATAAGTTTATAATAATGTTCTATAAAAGTGACAATCGAAAATTTTGACACTCAAATTACAACATCTTTAAATCCGGATTTTGTTATTAAAACAACTTTTAATATATAAATAATGAAAGTTATGCGGTAGATGCAAGAATTTGATATTTATGATAGTTTCTTTCAAAAAAAATATTCATCTTATAGTAATGTCTAAAGAGTATTGTGAACTCATGAACATGTTTCATGACTACAATGAGACATTCGTTAGATTATACAGATTAAATTCGTTCAAAATAAATGATATGGTTGATCTTTTCATGAAAATCAAAGTTAATTTAATCGAAAATAAGGTATTTTTGCCTGTTCAAATAATAAGCAAAATTGATGTTGCACTCAAATTCAACAATTACTATACAAGGGAATACCTTAGTCTTATCAAGATGATTTGTGATGAATATCATATTACAAGAATCAACAATATCTCACCTCTCACATTGTACCTTTTCAACAAAGAGTATAATATCATGCTTGGTGATATCGAACAATCAAAGTTAAATTTATATGAAAATAATCATTATTCAATAGAAGTTCACGAATCAACTTCTATATTCAGGGCTATTATGGATGATAATGTAGGAAAAATAATTTTCTTAGCAGAGCAAAAGGAATTTGATAAAAATATCGCAATTACAAGTGATTTCTACCCAGTAAGAGATTATGATTTTTTAAGCAATCCACAATTAAGTACGTATAATTTACTTGAAATATGTTGCTATTACGGAGCTGTTGATTGTTTCAAATTTTTGAGAACAAAGTTCCATTTACCAATCACTATTGATTGCCTAAAGTTTTCTTTTCTGAGCGGAGTTCCAGATATTTTAAATGAATGCTTAAAGGAGTGTCAACCAGTATTGTTGTATGGAGTATGCAATTGCATCACATAATGTGGATTTTATTTCTTTCCTAATGAATGAGAATCATTTTAGCATTGATTTAGAACATTGTTGTAAATTCAATAATATTCAGGCATTTTTAATATCTTTGGATAAAAGTCAAATGATGGATCAACATTTGGAATATTCTCCTTATTTTGGTATTCCATTACTTTGTGATTATATAATTTCACATGTCGTGAATGTTAAGAAATGTCCTTCAGTATTGCTAAATGCTGCTAAATTTAATCAAAAAGAAATTTTTGAGCTCATACTGAAAAATGGAGTTAATTGCAATGTTCGTGATAAAAATAACATAAGCTCGCTTCATTTTGCAGCAATAAATGGTAATAAAGAGATTGTAAATATACTATTATTTCATGGTATAGACATTAACTCTAGAGATAATATGAATAAAACAGCTCTTCATTATGCAACAGAAAATAATCACATGGAGCTTGTAGAATATCTTATATTTCATGGAATTAAAATTAATGCTCTAGATTCAAATAGAATATCAGCAATTGATATTGCAATCAAAAAAGGTTACAATGATATTGGAATGTTACTTTTAAATCATGGTGCTATAATCAATTTATACGATGATGAATATAAATTACACTATCCTGTATCAAGAAATAAGATAATTGTTGTTCATTATCTTCTTAGGAGTGGTGCAGATGTGAATAAAGAGGATCAACATAAGAAGACACCTCTTCATATTGCAGCGGAAAAAGGGTTTTGTGAAATTGCTAAAATTTTAATTGACCATGGAGCAGCAATCAATCTTAAAGATGAAAATGAGAAAACTCCATTATGCATTGCAATTTCGTGTAATTATCCAAAAATAATTGAACTTCTTATTGAAAATGGAGCTGATCTCAAAGCAATAGATGATCAAAAAAAGACAATGCTTCATTATGCTGCAGAAAATAATATGAAAGAATTATCGATTTTCTTAATATCAAATGGTATTTGTATCAATTCAAAGGATCAATATAATATGACTCCGTTCTATTATTCAGTATTTCAAAAATGTATTTATTCTAATAAGATAATTGATAATTTTGAGACTGCAGAGTATCTTTTGAATTTAGGTGCGAATATCAATGAAATAGACGAATTTGGCCAAAATCCACTTCAGATTGCAGCCATGAATGGAAAAACTGAGCAAATTTCCTTTCTCTATCATCATGATTGTGATCTAAACTCAAAAGATATGTATGGAAAATCGGTGTTCCATTTTGCAGCAATGAACCGGAACTTAGAAGTTGCTGAACTTCTATTGTCGATTGGAGCTGATATAAATGCAAGAACCAATATTGGGGAAACTGCCATTCATATTGCAATAAACGCTAATAATATAGAAATGGCAAAATTTTTTATCATGAATGGAGTTGATATAAATGCCAAGAATTGCCGAGGAGAAACTGCACTTCACTATGCAGTTCAAAAAGAATGGATAGAATCAATAGAATTTCTAATCAGGAAAGATATAAATATCAATGAAAAAGATAATCATGGAAGAACAGCATTGCATTTTGCTGCGATAAAAAGTACTGATGTATGTGTGAGCACTCTTTGTAAATACCGATTGGATATTCAAGCAAAAGACGAAAAAGGAAAAACTGCTTTACATTATGCAGTTACTCATTCCGATGATAGCGTCAGAATTCTTATTAACCATGGACTTGATGTGAATATAAGGGATAATAAGGGAAATACCCCGCTTCATATTGCAAAACGCCGAGATGAAAAAGAGATTGAAAAAACTCTTATTTCCTTGGGAGCTGATACAGGTGCCAAAAATAATAGAGGCCAAACTCCTTATTACATTGAACAATCAGTTAAAAGATTGAAATTAATTGTATGCATCACGGGGGTATTTCTATATTTGTTATTTTTATATAATCGTGGGATTTTAGGTTGGACGATAAGGCATCTGTTTGTAATTTGGGAATTTTTGAAACTTTTTTTTGTTTATGCTATATGTATTCAAACTCCAATAGCAATATTTTGTAATCTTTTATATTATCATCACTGGTATTGATTAATTTTTTTTTCTCTGCATTATTCGCAAAATATCTAATTTTGCTATTGTAATTAATATCTTTTTAATATTGTAATATTTGATTTGATTTCAATTCATAAATTTTAATGATCTATAGATTAATGGTATAAACTTACAACAGTTCTTTAGGCAAAAAATCTAATTTGATTTACACAAATTTGGATATAAGTTCACTTTTAACTCAATTGAGAATCATTTGTTTCATGAATCAAAAAAAAGATGAAAGCCTTTATCATATGCAAGCTATATAAATAAATTTTTAAAAAGTATATAAGTTTTGACTTTAAACAAATAAATTCTTTAAAAATAATAAATAAAAAAAATAAACATATAAAAAAATAAAAACTATTGTTTCTTTCCGAAAATGATATCAATAAGATTCAATGCGTCAACAGCATAAACACTTTCTCTTTCATCAGTTAGAGATGTCTTGCAAATCTTTCTCATTGTTTCTACCTTGTTTTCATCGATATTTTTCAGTTTTTCTTTGATAAGACTGAATTCAAGAGAAAATTCAAGTAATCTCTTGATATTCGTCGCTCTTTCATTCTCTGTAATCGTAGCAATCAGTTCGTAAACTCTTAGTAAAGGTGGTTCGATGGAAAATCCAAAATTCTGACATTTTGACAAATAAATTTTTGTCGAAGTTCCGAAACATTCGATGTCAGAATTTTTCATGTTCTGTATCAGTATTTCGCAAAGTTCAGGAGTATCCTTTGTCAATAACAAGACAACAACATTACACCATTCACAAATTAATTGGCCAGATGAAGTGGAAAGTGACTTAGAAATTTTTTGGATCAAAATATTCATCAAATTCGATTTTCCTCTACAGAAAGTAATTGCGTTTCTTATGTAATCAATTTTTACTTTCTGCAAACTGTCATTAACAAATTTTTCTGGAATTAAATTGAGTGAAAAATCACAGAAATTGTCATTGACAGATAAAAGTGAAGTGACCAAAATCCAGTGACTTTCAATTTCGAAATTGAATTTAATTTTGTTTATCGCCTTGAAAACTTCTTCTGTGAATTTCAGATCAGTATTTCTTACACTTCTCAACACAGCGGCCAATAAAATGAAATCACAATCATAAGCTTTTTCTACGCGATGCAAAATTTTCGGCATCAATTTCGATTTTATGTAAATTTTCGCAAGAGAAGGATCGCAGTCAACCACGAAAACAGAGAGTTTCGCTAACAATGGTTCTCCTGGATTTGCAAAGGACAATATGTTAACTGTGTCATTCATCATATTTGCCAAATTTTTCAGTACTTTTTTGTCACTTTTTGGCAAATATTTTATGAGCAAATCGAAATATTCCGATGAAAAAGAAAATTCTGGTCTGAGACACAAAATCATGTTCTCTATGATCTTTGAAGTGAAAAGTGAAGTAAAGTATTCTGACACTTCACTTTTGACTACAAACTCTGGAATTTTTCTTAAGCCGTCCTTTGAACCACCTAAACCTTTCGAGAGCACGTCAAAGAACTTGATAAACTTTGTTTGGTCGGAAAAGAACTTTGCGAAATCTTCTTTCGTCAAACAACGAATCAAAAATGACAAAATATCCGAAATCAGAGTTTGTTTCGATATAGAAACATTCGAAAACTTCTTCACGACATAGAAAATTTGTTCGTATTCATTATAAATCATTTGTTGGTTGTCAGATCTGACGACAGACCATGCCAAAACCTCCAAATAGGGTTTGAAGATACTTGGAGTTGTGAAAGAGAAATAATTATCATTAGACTCTCTGTAGATGAATTTTCCGACGTTTTCAAATTCTGAAAACAAATTTTCTGACACTTTTTTGAGGTTTTGTTTATCAGAATCAGACATTACTACGTCGAAATCATCTTCCGAGAGGTTTTTAGCTGTTGGAAAGCTCTTCAACAGTGCTCTTTTGATTCCAAGACGTACTTCAGAGAGTGTGGACATCAGCCACTCCATAATCCACCATTTTGACTCCGCGAAAAACGGCTGCATCGATGAGGAACAATATTTTGGCAAATTCTGACAAAGATGGCTTATCATTGACGAACTTGATAATTTCTTGATGTCAGAGGCTTCTGTGAAATGTTTGGTTTGACATAATGTGACAAAACTGTCTAACCTTAAATTATCGTCACTTGATTTAAGGTTATTCTTTAATTCCTGGATATTGTCATCAGTCATGATCAAACACTTCAACTGGCAGACTTGGTCGTTTGCTCCTTCGATTCTTTGGATGGCTTTGTGTATAATGATCTTCTTGATCAGGTCAATTGTCCCTTGGTCTTTTTCTTTTGTTACTTTTTCTTCAACAACTTTTCTGAGGCTGTCAAAAAGATCGTTACATGGTAATACTAATCCGATCTTTGTTCTGTCGATTTGTGACTGACAACTGTCCAAAAATGAAGTGACCACTTTAAATAAGCTGTCACTTTTTGCGCCAACGTCTACAACTATTTGGATTGGTTTTACGATTGTTTTGAAGGTCTGCTGGTCTTTCTTGATGATGTCTGGGAAGTTTTGGCAGAGGAAGTCAATGAAAATTTCGTAATTCTTGGTATTTTTGATGGATTCACTGACTAAATTGAAGAAAAAGTCCTGGTTTCGTGAGGAAGTGATGCCAAGCTTCATTACATCCTTGTTGTATATGAAATATGGGTCTTCTTTCGTCTTTGAAACGATCTTTTGTTTAATTTTCTCCTGATCAACCTTAATTTGCTCGTTAAACAAGAATGTGAGGCCAACAATTGGATTATCTGTGTAATCTGACATCTTTAAGATGAAATCGTTCAAATCTTTGATTAAATTCGACTCAATTTCTTCGTCGTAAACGAAATTCTGTTCAACTTTCTCTTCTTTGATAGGAACGATTTCTTCTTTAGGTTCTTCTTTGACTTCTGAAGTAGATTTTGTATAAAATATGAGATATGCTGATTCTGAGTTCTTTCCACCACCTGTAGACTTCATAACAGAGCTCATATTTGATCTGGAAACTCTTGAATCGTTGTAACAAATCCAATTATCTCTATTATTTACGTATGAGTAATAATGACCTCCATTTGCACTTCCAATGTGTACGAGTACTCCTGTTAGGTCATATATAACATGTTCCGACTGGTCCGACATTAAATCTGAAAGATCTAATTTTTCTGGGAACAAATACTTGGAATTTACCTTTAATCTTTGATTTGTACTCATATTATACGTAAATCTCATCAATTGGATAACTAATACCGTTGGCGGTTTTGTAATCTTATGAAACATTTTTGCGGAAATTTTTCCCAACTTTTCATCGGTGTATTTATTGTCTCCATCGAATAAAATTGGGTTCTTGAAGCTTTTGAAGGAACTTTCAAGGGTATCATTGTTAGATACTTCGACAGGGAATGTAATTAACTCTTCATTCCTTTCGAAATGGTAATCTACGTCGACTCCTTCAATAATTGCTTTCATTTCGCCTTTGAATGGGTTTATAGCACCAGGAATTTCATTGTTTATGTCATCTAACAATGCTTGCAAGAATTCTACAGCATCTTGCTGCTGATATGGATTCACATGTTCTCCATACCACAGCCAGGACTTAACGAAAGCGGATGGATTGACTGCAGATCGACTTGTTTCGAGTTGTGTGAATACTTCTTTCAGTTTCTGTAGCCATTTCTTCTCAGGAGAAGATTTAATTAATAAATCTCTGAATTCTTGAACGTTGTACAGCTGCTGGAGTGTTGAATTCAAGTAGCATGTGCATCCCATATTAGTTAAACCTGCGTGTACCCTTACATCTTCTGGAATTAGATCATCTAGTTCATCATGAGCGTATTGTGCACAATAATTTCGCAATCTCTTCTCATCTTGGATCTGAGAAAGCTGAAAATTGAGTGTAGGAAGCAATGTTGTGAGAATTGTCTGATTATATTGGATCATCTCATTTAATGTGACTAAAATTTCCTTAATTGGTGAGTAATACTTGTATTTCGTGCAGAGTATTGTATCAACAATCAAGTTATAAAGACTTTCATCGAATTTTGTGATGATTTTTGACAAAACTGAGAAAACTGAAGCAATGTAAGGTTTCGGAGGCATCTTAGCATAATCTATGAACAAGTCTGACTGATATATTTCCTTCACAATCTGTTTCATTTCGTCATAAATGTAATCATTTTTGGTATTTTCTACAAAAGTGGATAAAAGCTTGAAATAATAAGTGGACTTTTCTTTCTTAGCTGTAGGAAGTAGATCTAAAATAGTTTTTTCAACAACTGATGGGTCAAATAATTTAAATAATTCTTGGAAGGTCGTTCTGACTGATTCGCTGCCATAGAACATTAATTTCGGTAACAAAGATTTGATTTCTTCTGATGTTTTAACTAGATCTGGTAATTTCTGCAAAATTGCGATGAATAATGGGATAAAATGGTCTGATTGCTTCTTTTGCTCGGGGTTTTCTATTAGATCCTGAACAATTTTTGTGATTTTATCAATAATTTTTGATTTCTTAAGGATTTTTCCGTCATTTAATTTTTGAACACTTAAATATGCGATATCTATGACCATTTCCTGGAATTCTCGCTTAGTGAATAGCTTATCTATATCATCTGTTGCTATTTCTAAGATTCTTATAACTCCATTACCATTAATAAATTTATTTGTAAATTCTGTATTATTATCCAACAAATTACCAAGCGCATTGACTTTATATAGCAATGAAAATGGATGTCTTGTTGTTAAAACTTTGTCCCATGCATCAGATTCTGTTTCTAATAATTTATCTTCGATTTCTTTAAGAGTTGGAAGGTAATAAAGTATATAAAATGCTGTTTCATTATTTTTCTTGATCATTAGATGCCAAATTGCTTCTCTATATTGTAATAAAATTGGAGATGGAAAATTTGAGTAATTTTCCATTCGAAAATCCTTTGGAAATGATCCATTGTTGATTGTTACTGTCATTTGTTCCTGTAATTTCATGTTTTGGGCTGTCATTTCGACATTATTTTCCAAAAATATTTGTAAAGATTCTTTTTCTTGGTTTAGTTTGTATCCGATCTTTTCTCTGAGTGCTTCATAAGTTATCGACATCGGAACTTTGATTTTTCCAAGATCTGTACCTTTAATTTCGATAATTGACATTTTTAGAGGACTGTCGTGTTTATTTCGAGTAATTTTGTATACTTCATCATCATGTTTCAATTCTATCTTCTTTATGAAGCCTAAATATGCTTGGAGAACAACATTTGATTCTAAATAATCTTTTGTCAAAGCTACGAACTTATTTATGTCATTTTGGTACAGTTTAGCAGCTGTATCTAATAATTCCGAATTTTCCTCGTTGATAGCTGTCCGAATTATGTAATTTACGTCCTTAATTTGTTCAATTGGACCTTTATCCTTAATTACGTCATAATTCAGCAATTGGAATATGAGAATAATGAGTTTTGGGCATACAGGTGTTAGTTTGCATGCGTATCTAATCAAAGAATGAAGCATTTCGTCATTCATCATATCAAGTTCAGTTTTTTCGGCCAATTTTTGATATAATTCCAATATCGACTCAGGGTCCTTTTGTAGCATATTAAGAGTGAAGCTTTTGAACGCTTTGAACTCTTCATTTGTAATATTTTCGAATTTTATGAGGACATTTTTCAAACAATTTATGGCTTCTGGACAAAGTTTGTCCAAGAGTTCGACAGAGTTCAACAAAGGAATGAAAGACTCCATAACTTTCTGGGGATTGGCGTATCTTATTGAACTTTGGTAGATAAGCATTACTTCCCTGATATTCCGCTTCTCCTTGAGGATTTCCAAGCAAAGATTCAATGTATTGTCGCATGTTTCTTGGTTATTTGGAATTAATTTCGATAATAAGAGAACTTGCTCTTTATTATTGCAATCGAATATGGTCAACAGGTTTTTAACAAGATTTCCTCGGCATTCGTCGGTTAAAAAGTGATAATTGTCTTGAATAAATTTATAAGAAAAATCTGAGAAGGTTTTCGTGGTTTGGAGGTAAACCCAGAACTGATCCCTTGTTGTTGACTCAAGATTGTTGAAGAATCGTTGGAATTCTTTGAGATTTGTGTCAATTTCCGCTGGAGGATTTTTTACGAATTTATTCCATAGTTTTATCAAATATTCGTGGTCCAGTTTTTTAGTTTGGAAGAGAACCAGCAAAACTTCGTACAAAGGAGCAATAATTTGTTGATGAATATCTTTTGTCAAAACCAAGTCAAGAAAATCTGATTCTAAGAGCAGTTTTAGTTTGTCTTCATTCAGTTTTATTTCTTTTTTCATGCTTACTAATGTATCAAAAGATTTTTTGATGGAATCGCAAAAAACTTGTCTTGTGGAGGCTAAAAACAGCAGATCACTAAAGTTTGCTGCTTTGGAATTGTAATCTACCATATGTTTTGTAATAAATTTGAGGATAAAAGCGTGTTGAGATGTATCTATTTCTCTATTGATTTCTTGGTCTTTTGATTGCAAGAATGATATGTAAAGTGTGTTTGTACGATCAGCTATTTCAGGCAAAACTGATTTATATAATTTTTTATTGAAAGTTTTGAGTAATTTCAGTGTCCAGTACATACTTTTGGGAGTTAAGGCATTAGGAGTCTTGTACAATGTTAGTATTTGCGGAATTATGTCAGTAGACGATAACTGTGAGATGTTTTCTTTGATAAGCGAATTTGAAAAGAATCCAAATGAATTTTGCAATGAATAAAACGGACATTGAGCATTTAGGAATACGTCTTTCATTGCTGAGATGAACTTTGATTGAGCATTTATGATGTATTTTGTAAAAAGTGGGATAAATTTTTGGAGAATTGAGTTCAAACTAGCAGAACTCTCTTTTGGTACTGTTTTGTTTAATATTGATGTTACAGTTTTAGCACAAAAATCATCCAAAAACCAATTTGTTTCATTTTTATAAGGATCTGCAAGAGAATCTCCGGAAATAAGTTGTGAAACATACTTATCAATGAGGTTTTCATCATCCTTTGAAAGATTTAAAGACAAAATACTACTACAAGTTGAGTTGCACCAGTCTTCAAATTCTTTCTCACTCATTGATTGGATAAAAGAAAATTTTTAGTTAAAAATTTTTGATTTCATCAAGAATGCTAATGTGCGTTTAATGATAATTCTCTCAAAAACTGACAATTCAAAATGCAAATTGCAAATTTGCGAACAAAATCTAGTTTTTGAAAGGAATGACATTTGATTTTGATTCAATTACATGTGAGAATGCCATTGGTAATAATCTTAAATGAAATCAGTAAAAAAAGCTATGGACACAACGATTATTTTTCGAAAAAAAATTGCTGAGTATATAGAGAGCGCTATATTAAGAGTTCTAGATGAATACTTAAATGAAACTATTAAGAGATAATTTGTTTAATAGAAACAGTAAATAACAGTTCATAATAGAAGTAAAGAAAAGCAAGATATTGTAAAATTATATGGCATCGAAATGAAACATGCTTAAAAGTAATGATTTAGTATGAAATACAAAGGAAATAGAAATAAACATGAATTGCCGTAATTAAAAATGGGTGTAAAATTAAATTCGTATTTATTTAATAAATTTTCATACGATTTTCTAGCAAAGGCTAAATGATAAAGAAGCCTTTGAGTAGTTTGATGTGGCATATAAGTTATTTAAAATCTAATGCAGGATTTCAAAATCGAAATTAAATCGGACCGTTAGATTGAAATGCAATGGCGTCATTAGCAATACCAGTATTGTCATAGTCTAATATAAAAGAAAAAGAATGTGTTGTATGAAAAGAGCATACTTGAGAGAAATTGAAAATGAAAATATGACTTGGGTCAAGAGGAATGAACGTTATTGGTTTTTGGATATGATTTTGAAATAAGCAATGATGAATGAAACAAGAAGAGAATGCTAGAACTTGAGTTATAAAAAACCCCGCCAAAATTGAAAAAAATAGATAATATATCATTTTTTGAAAGTATATAGGATAAAATGTTATAGTTTAATGGTATCAAAGGTAGCATGTTCAAATCCAGTTGTATTAATTTTTTTATATTTCAAAAAATATGATAAGAATAAGAAAAACTATAAATTTGAGAATTTTGTAGTTATGAACAACCAAATATCGAAAAATATAATAAGTCGAGCAAAATAAATGGTAATTGAAAATTTTAATATGATATATTAAAGTTCATATTAAGACATAAATGGAAGATTTATATATCTCTACTTGTAATTGAAAAATGTAAGAAAAATAAAAAGTAAATGTGTGAGGTATAGTGGCTAGAGAATTTGAGATATTGTGTTACTTAGTAATTATCATTATATAGTATATAGTTATGGAATTTTGAATTGATGGATAAATTTTTCAGAATGGATAACTTGAATGGGTAACTTTGACCGACAAGAGTGCATAACACACTCTTGTCGGTCACAATGTGTCATTCCGGGAGACATTGACTATGAATGTCTCCCAGATTGAGACAATATTCCGCAATCATAACTTGAATGCGGAACTTTGACCGACAAGAGTGTGTTATGCACTCTTGTCGGTCACAATGTGTCATTCCGGGAGACATTGACTATGAATGTCTCCCAGATTGAGACAATATTCCGCAATCAGAATACGATTGCGGAACTTTGACCGACAAGAGTGTGTTATGCACTCTTGTCGGTCACAATGTGTCATTCCGGGAGACATTGACTATGAATGTCTCCCAGATTGAGACAATATTCCGCAATCATAACTTGAATGCGGAACTTTGACCGACAAGAGTGTGTTATGCACTCTTGTCGGTCACAATGTGTCATTCCGGGAGACATTGACTATGAATGTCTCCCAGATTGAGACAATATTCCGCAATCAGAATACGATTGCGGAACTTTGACCGACAAGAGTGTGTTATGCACTCTTGTCGGTCACAATGTGTCATTCCGGGAGACATTGACTATGAATGTCTCCCAGATTGAGACAATATTCCGCAGTCATAACTTGAATGCGGAACTTTGACCGACAAGAGTGTGTTATGCACTCTTGTCGGTCACAATGTGTCATTCCGGGAGACATTGACTATGAATGTCTCCCAGATTGAGACAATATTCCGCAATCAGAATACGATTGCGGAACTTTGACCTACAAGAGAGCCGCTTTCTTCAATTCGATCTAGAACTGTATCGTCAGACCATCCAAGATGATACCCAATCCCGCCTGCAGGGCCTCCTTTATGTTTGCCGCAGCCTCCTGAGCCGCCGCCCGCAAGCATGATGGTAATTGCAGTATTTGCAACTTTAACTTCAGTGGAACCGCCTCCACTTCCGGAATAATCGTCTGGGATCTTAAACCATTCTGTATCGTCACCTGCATCGCCACCATCAGGCCATCCGCCTGTTGAGCGACTATTGCAACTCGCTCCTTTACTCTCGCCAACATTGAACGTCACTGTCATACCACCTTTAACATCTATTTTGCCTTGAATCCAAGTGCCATTTCCGCCATATCCTGCAGGTTTATCCGCATAGCAAGCTCGACCACCACTTGCGCCTTGGATAATGATTTGATGCCGACCTGCAGGTAAATCTACATTTACACTTTGACTCTTGCAGTCCCAATGGTATGATACAAATAGGAAAAACAAAATTTGAAAAACTTTTCATTTGAAAAGGAATGGATACAAAAAATTGAATTACCTTCAAAAATTTATTGATTTCTCTACATCGAATAGTGTTATTATAATTCATTTTCTACTTTTTTTGTCTGATAACATTTTCTTGTTGATCTGCTAAATTTTTGCCAGCAAGAAAAAAACTTACTTAACTTAAAAAAAAAAAGGGATTGGGGCTTCCAGGCACTTCGTGCCCTCTAGCCCCGAAGATGTTTTGTCACTTTTCTGTCACTTTTCAGGAAAAAAACATTTTTATTAAATATAAAATGAATTTTACAAAACCACCGTTACCCTTCTTTGGAAATAAGAGTAGATGTAAAGATATTCTATTGAGAGAACTTAAGAAACTACCGAATGGTCTAACATTTGTAGATTTGTTCGGTGGAAGTTTCTATATATCTCATTTGTGCCATACTGTATTTCCTGACTCAAAGATTATATGCAATGACTTCGACAACTATATGAACCGTCTCAAACATATACCAGACACTAACAAAATATTGAAAGAGTTAAAAGAAAAGATACCTATAGGTAAGATGGAACGTATACCATTAGATAAGAAAAATACTGTCAGAGAGGTTTTGAAAAAAGCAGAGTATATTGACTGGGATAGTATATCTTCTAGACTATTGTATAGTGGTTCTATAAGAGTTCATGACATTGAAACACTTATGTCAAACGTTTTATATCTTAACTATACAAAGGTTTTCAAAAAGAACATAGAAAAATATACTGAGGGTATAGAGTTTGTGAGATGTCGTTGGACAGAGTTGTATGAAAAATATAAAAACAAGGAAAATGTTTTCTTTATAGTAGACCCGCCGTTCTATAACACATATGATTTTCAATACCAAGTAGACTGGACTTTGAGAGACTCTTTAGAAACTTTAGACGTTTTACATAACCATCCATGCTTTTACTTTACATCCGATAAAAGTGGTTTGGAAAGTGTCATGAGATGGTTAGAGGACATACATGACTATGAGTTTAGATACGATAAGATAGAATATGAGAGAGGTCCTATAAACCGGAAAAAGTGTCACAAAGAAATTTTATTGGTAAGTAAATGTGGTTTGAAATAGGACTACTTGTTTTAGGTTTTTTCCATTGTGTCATTTACTTATTTGACGTGGCTGAAAGATATAGAGAATATGAAGATGAACCACTGCCTGCAAATGTTCAGCATATGTACTCGTAAGAGATATTTTTATCTAATATTAAATGGACGCACAGAACTTAGCGAATGCACAGCAACCTGGACAACCAAACCCAGAGAATATTCCAAATGAAGTTAGAATACAAACTGCAATGGCAAACTATGGTCAAGTGCCAACAGATGTACAAATGCAAACTGCCATGTCAAATGACGCTGCGTTAGGTTTGCCACCATGGTATGCAAATATGAGATGGAAAGAGTTTTATACAAACCCTGAAGTGGGATATAAACAACTCTATGCAGATGACGCGAACACAGGAGTTGACCCAGAGTATGTTTTCTACCAGAGGAGAAATAGAATGTATGAGCTCCAGTTAAAAAATGCTATGGAACTCAGAAGGAAACGTAAGAGACTAGGCGGACATTAGATTTTTACATATAGTAAAATGGGTTTCTTTGGAAGAATAGGAAACTTCTTTCGAAATGTTGGAAGAGGTATATGGAATGGAATAAAAACCGTAGGAAGAGGAATTTGGAACGGAGTCAAAAATATTGGCAAAAGAGTAGGTCAGTTTGTTGGTATTATACCTAAAGACCCTGAACCAGAAGAACAAGCTCCTGTTATACAACAGCCTGAACCTGCACCACAGTCTAGTTGGCAACCAAATCCAACACCTCAACCGTATTAAAATTATATTTTTACCGTTCGATAGTAGTTGTATATGAAGCTAAGTTCTAAGTAAAACGCATGGTATAATGGAACTATTCTCTTTCTTCCATCTGTTGTAAACCATACTTGAAAGTCTGAAATACTTCCACTCGGTGGTTCATATAGCTTTGTAGGTTTTTCGTAAAAGTCATTTGCCAAGCATAAAAAAGAGTTTTGTGCACCAGAAAATGAAGCATGAACGATAATAGCATCTGAGTCAAAAACATTTTCATATGTTCCATTAGGGTTTTCGACTTCATAAAAGTCGGGTGTACTGGATATTCTGCAGGCTGATTTAACATCCTCAAAAATCTATACCATGCCAAGTTGTTATATTTTGTAGAAATATAAACGTCTTCTCCAAGGTCTTCTATTCTATTGATTTTAACAGTTGCATTTTTCCTGTCATATAAAATATCGAGATGGTACTCTCCTTCGTCAATGTTGTACTGTTTTGCATATTCGAGATAGATATCGTTTATTTTTTCTTGAAAAGCTTGAAGAGTTGTTTCTAAGTTTACAAGCAAACTAACTTGTAAAAGTTTTCCCTGTTCAAATTTCTCATACGTACGTTTCTCTTTGTTATAGTATCGAATTTCAAAAGCGACCGTAAATGGGAAACCATGTATGGCTTCTGAAATGAACTTCATTCTACGAAAGCCAACAGCTTTTGTGACAGATGGGTCTCTTAGCCATCTTAAGGGGTAGTCAAAACGATAGCCTTCATGCTTTACGGTCTCTGTCTCAAACTTTTGACCGACATTCGTAAAAAGTTCATCTAATGGTTTAGTTGTAGCAACTCTAGAAGTTTCTTTTTCTATTGGAAGCATATTTTATCTAGAATAAAAATGTCGAAAGAAACAGCGTCTATGAGAGAAATACAACACAACCGACAACTCATTGTACAAGCTCTAAATAAGAACACAACAAACTTTTCAAACTATTCTAAGATATCTGAGTCATTGAAAGAAGGAAACTTAAAACTGACATTAAACCCAATGACAGATGAGTTTCTGTTTCAAGACAACAAGAACCATACTGTTTGTATAAATCCAACAAAAAGAACTTTAAACGAGAAACCTATAGATGAACTTCTTTTGAAAGCAGATATTGACAACAAAGCTGACAAAGAGTATGTAGATGCAACAAAAGACTATATTCTCGCATGGACAGAAAGAACATACCCACAAAAACATCATACACATAACATCTATGACGTAGATGAACTTCAAGAAAAGTTAGATGACAAAGCTGACAAAACATATGTTGACAATAAAATGTCAAGTGAAGTGACAAGAGCTGACAAAGAATATTCTAAAAAGACTCATACACATACCATTGCAAATATTACAAACTTACAACAAACCTTAAACAGGAAAAGTGACGTTGGACATACACACGATTTCTTCGCAACTGTTGGTATAGAAAATATTGAAGGAACGGTTGATGGAACTGGTGGGGATGTATTATATTGGAAACCTCCTAACTTTCCACAAGGTTTAACATCGGATGAAGACATAACGACGATGAGATACATTAGATGTAGAAATGTCTATGTCATGGAGGATGAAAACAAAGTTAAATTCACTGCTCAAGATTTATATGATAAAAAAGCTGACAAAACAGAGCTTCAAACGTTAAAGACAGAAATACTTCAAACACTATATCCTATAGGTTCTATTTACACGTCAATGAACTCTACCAGACCAGAAGTAGTACTTGGTTTTGGAACTTGGACTCAAATAGTCGACAGGTTTTTGTATTGTGCAAACTCTTCAAAGGAAACAGGTGGAAGTAAAACGATTTCAGGTGAAAACTTACCTGCACACAGTCACTACATAGATTTAAGTACATCTCAAGCAGGTTGGCATAAGCATAGATTTTGGGATTGGTCAGCAATGAAAAAAGGTAAAGGATATGATGTTAAAGACGACGTTCAGTTTGCTATAAATTGTTTCTGGGGTAGCACACAGGGAGATGGAAACCATACACATCGCGTTTCAGGGTATACACAAACAACGGGACAAAGTAAAGACTACATGCCACCTTACATGACAGTTTACGCATGGTATAGAATGCTTAGTCGTCATTTTCAACTTCTTTAGCATATTCGTCAGGAGTTGTCTTATATTTGTTAGGAACTGTCTTTGAAAGTATACCACCTTGAACTTTGACAAGTTTGAAACGAGGTCTGACAATAGTAGTTTTATCTTCTGCTTGCAGTCTGTACATTTTGCCATGTTTGCCTAAAACTTCATAATATTCTCTTGTATACTTTCTTCTATTTTTACGAACACGAATGTGAGTACCTGTCGAGTTCCCATTGTTGTCATAGTCAATAGTATTTTCATATGGGTCGCGTTTAGGTATTTCTATTTTTACTTTGTCACCTTTCTGAAGTTTGAAGCCCGGCATTCTTTCTTGTTTGTCTCTTTTGACTAAATTATTAAATATATAGTCTTTCTCTAAGTCAGGGTTGTTTTTCATTTCTTCGGGGGAGTGGTTTCCCAAACCTTTTTGTTTACGGCTATTGTAAATATTTAAAACTTGTCTCATCTTTGCCATGGAGAAGTGTCTATACTTGTCGTCATATGACATTTCATTTGCTTCACCACCTTGTGGTTGGTTTAAGTCTCTTAAGATTTTTATACAACTGTCAATGACACCAAGAGCAGAATGGTTTTGGTCGACAATGAAATATTGGTTTACATTTTTTGAACGCAGATAGTTTTTAATATCGTCTGATTTGAAAGAACTTTCACAGTCAGATGTCAGTTTTGTTGGATGGTATTTGTCAACGAATATTGTCAAAGCAGTTTTCACATCTAAAATATTTTTGGACATAATGGTATGGCTTCACAGTATCTTGTGTTTTGACCGACAAATATTAGCCAGTATGGTGGTCCATCTTCTCTATACCTCGGAATGTTTTCCAAGATATCCATAAACCAAGCATTTGGTGTTGAACTAAAGATTTTTACCATGAGTGCTTTCTTTGTTGCTTAGAAACATACGGGTCCTTGTTTGAATTCGTCATTTTTAACCCATAAGAAATGGGTTTATTTGGCGCATTAGCAGGAGTCGCATCTAGATTTTTGCCCGCAGTGGGAACACTAGCCAGAGGTGCATTTGGAATTGGAAGGAAGATTTTGAGTACATTAGGTATACTGAAAGAGAAAGCACAACCTATTATACAAACTGTACAGAAAGGTTGGGAGGTAGCACGAGATGCAGCAAATCTTATTCCAAATCCTGAAACAAGAGGAAAAGTTCAAGGATGGATGGACAATGTAGGAAGACAAGCAGGAAACTACTATAACAAAGCAAATGACTACTATAACCAAGCAGGGCACTACATGGACCAAGGTGAAAGATTCTTTAACAGAGGATATAACCATGCACAACAGTGGGTAAACAACAACCAACCTCAACCGCCTCAAACGTGGGGAATGTAAAATTTTTTACTGAGATGAAATGAACAATACAGCATTGAGACAAATGGGCTCAAGATGGATTTGTCGGCTTCCAGCAGTTACACACCACGTGTTTGTCAAGTTCTTCCTATACTCAGGAAGTTTTAGACCGACTTAAAAAACCTCAACAACCAGTTGAAAACAAACCAAACTAAAATTTTTTACTGAGATGAAATGACCGAAGAAGTTGAAACGGTAGATTTGACACCACAAACAAAAAGTTCAGAACCATTGTCAAAACCTGTCAAAGAACTTACAGATGAAGAGAAAAATTCAATAATAGAAAGTGTGAGGTCTGGAAATACAAACCCTAACTACAAAGTCACTTTTCATAAAAATGGAACGGCAAGTATCTCAAAAAAGAAACAGACTCTCACAAATAAAATATTGAAGTCTGAAGGAGCTTTCGAGACAACAGATGGAAAAGTATACTTCACTGACCAACAGTTCATTATAGAACATCTCATTGACTTAGAGTCGAAATATTCTAAACTTTACAACAAACACAAAAAGTTGAAAGGAAAACAAAAACAAATGGCATATGATATTTATGAAGATGTTGACGACACAACTATTCAAGCAAGTGAGGTAAAGTCAGCAGAACCGAAAAGTGACGAAAAACCGATAGAAGAAGAAAAACCAAAAACTGAAGATAAACCAAAACCAAAGTTTAGTTTCCAAACTAAACCAAGTCAACCTTCATTAGCTGGTATGGGTTGGCGTCAAAGACTTATGGCAGCAAGTGCTTATGTAAAGTAAAGGAAAAAACATTTTTTTATTTTTATAGAAATGCCCCCGTATAGAATGGATAGAAAATCTGCTAGAATAAAAGCAGAGTTAGAAAGATATGGTTGGAGAGTTTCAAAGAAGTTTAAATATAGGAAGGGAAGACCCATAAAAGTCTATGACAAACTGTCTGGTCTTCGCTATGAAATGGACTTGGAAACAGCACGCGCAAATTATCCAAACAGATTAGAGAGGTTAGAAGAAGAGCGTCTTATGGATATGCCTTTCAATGTTAGTGAGCCTCAAGTTGAAGGACACGACGGCTTTGCCAGATTCTACTGGAAACATGACGAACAATTGAATCCTTTGAGAAGGAAAAAAGGAAAAGGTGAAGACGCACATGCTCCCATGGAAAGAACAAGATATGCATATGAAAAGTATCGTGAGGTTAGAAGTAAAATTACATCTGGTCGAACCTTTACAGTAAACTTTGACGAAGGAAAGAACAAAGAAGGCTTCATGGGAGTACTTGCTGCCATACAAGACGGAAATAAGAAAGGATACAATCTCAGATTAACCGTAAAAGATTTAGATGGTCATATTTACTATGCGCATGGCAATGTCACAACAGCCGCACAACTTCTTGACGCTTTCAAGACTACAAAGAGAGAACAAATGTTTGACTCCGACTCAGATATTTTGAATGCAATTGAAGGAATTGCAAGCGTGAAGTTCGAATGGTACCAACCCAACCCTCAAGCAGTCAGACAACATGCTGGATACTTCCCGTTCATAAACAAGTCTGACATTAACCTGACAAGGTATGGAATTTACAATTCAATTGAAAAAATTGTCAATGAACCTTGTATTCTTACATGTCTCAGGAACTCTGGTCTTGTTACAGATGAGAAAATGAAGTATCTTGAGTCATGTGTGAAAACAAGGTACATTCTCAGAGGTCAATTGGCAAAAGTTGCACCGTTGGCAAATGTCAATATCCGCGTCAACATTCCGACTGAGAAAGGTTCTTCACATGACGACTATGTTGTTGACTTCAAATTACCATGGTTGAAGATTGTACTTGTCCACAACCACTTCATGTTGAACGAAAGTCTTACAAACCCATTGTTCGGAAAAGGCAAGTGCAACATTGTCAGAGCTGTTAACATTCTTTTCGAGAAAGGCTTGTTGGAACCAATTCCAGATGACAAGCTGACAGAAAGTTTTGTACCAAAAGACGAAACAAACTTTTCATTGTTGGTAAGACCAAAAGTTGTTCCAGACAAAGTTCTAGCACAAAAGAAGTACACAGCTCCAAAAGGGGTTGGATTGTTCGGATACCAACCTGAACCAGAAGAACTTCCAATGAGGTTGCAAGAACTTCAAGATGCTATAAACAAACTTCCATTGAGACATCCAATTGACGTCAAATTGTATTGGAGAGCATCTGAGTTAGGTCAGAAGGTTTTATATGAAACAGGTTGCTTCGACGATGTTTATGAGATAACAGGAGAAGTTTCTCAGAAGATAAGAGACTCACTTGAATTTCCACGAACTGGACCCATTGGTTGCGACAAGTTCGACTCATACGAAAAAATATACTATGTCGACCTTAACGCTGCGTACATGAGGTTTGTCCAATATATTCCAACTGGAATTCCAAACGAAGATGGTGAGTTCCCGGGAAGGAACTATACAGTTGGAAAGGTCATACAACAACTCTATGATATTAGGAAAGCTTCAAACCCCAAACTTGCAATGACACTCAAATTGCTTATGAATTCGACATGGGGATATTCCATTAAAAAACCTCAAAAGATGAAGAGTAAACACTATGAGAAGGTCGACAACTTTGTTGAAAGGTTTTCTCCTTTTGTTTTGAAATACGAATTTACTCAAGGTCAAAATGGCTTAGTAACCACAGTAAAACCTATTGTCGAACATTGGTCCTACCCTCAGTTCGCAAAGGCAGTCCTTGACAACTACAACAAATTCTTCTCCGAGGTCAAATCGAAAGTGAAGGTATACTATGAGAACATTGACGCACTCATGACGAACGAAGAAGGATACAACAAACTCATTGAAATGGGAATGGTCGGTGAAAAGATGGGCCTTTTTAAGCTAGACAAGGTATTTTCCGAAGTTCATGTTCTCTCCAAGCGTAAGTACTGGGCCATACTTGAAGACGGCACAGAAATAAAACATTGCATGAAATAAAACATTGCATACCATTTTAAAACGTTTTTAAAACAGTATATTTTTACATATATAAAATGCTTCAGGTTGAAAAACAAAGAACAAAAGTAGCAGATACAAAACCGTTAGACTATATCTTTACAAACGCTGGCAGGAATATTTCAGATGAAGAAATTTCATCCCGATCTTACAGGTTTGACTATCCAATTCGTTGGCTTCAAAGTCCTTCAGATGCAAAGGCAATAGGATTTAGAAGAGTTTTGTTTTCAAATAGAACTAATGCGTTTATGTTCGCAGTATATTTTCACGGTCAGTATAAAGGTTCTGACGGTCTAATAGAAAAATTTGACGAAATGAAAATCTTTACAATTCGTTCAGACGAAAGTCTTGAAAAAACTCTAAATGACTTTCAAACTCAAATAAACAAATACTACTGGGAATTTCAAGAAAAATACCACTCTTTACTAAATGGAACATACTATCTGAAACTAGAATATGACAAGATGAACTCCACAGTTTCATTTCAAAAGATTGAAATTAACCCTCCAAGAGATACAGAGTTTTTATATTGGGGAGTAGACAAACGTTCTTGGGCACAATTTCTTCGGTTACTAAACCAGAACGAACCATTACCACCAGATGGTCCATTTAAATTTATACTTCCACCAGCAGATTTGACAGTTTATAGAAACGTGTTTGACCCTCAAAATGTCATGTGTCATGCAAGTTTCAGTTCAAGCAACAACAGTTTTCTGTGTATCGGTAAGGACTTTTATGACTTTGCTTCTAAATTCTACGAACCACCTAGTAACAGTTTCTCTGACTTTCAATTTTGGTTCACAACAAACGGTGTGCAGCATATTATTCCATTATACTATGACTTTTATCTCGAATTGTCTTTCATATACAACTACGGAAAAGTGCTGAAAAAGTATTGAAAAAAGAGGTGGAGCCAAAAAGTGGCTCGACCTCAAAACAAGCATTTTGTGAAGAATATACCACCCCGCGGAATTCCGCGGGGTGCTTTTTATACAAAATTCAACAGGTGAATTTTCATGAATTTCCTTAAGATAGAAAAAGTGAGTTAAAATGAGATTTTTATCGTTGTGGTCCGACGGTTAAGCCACAAACGAATGTCCGACGGTTAAGCCACAAACGAATGTCCGACGTACCACCAAAAAATATTTTTTTATTTTTATTGTA